TGCCAGGCGGTTCTCGAACCCGCGGGCTCAGGCAATCCACTCCCCTCAGCCTCCCAAAGGCGCGGGATTACAGGCTGAGCCACCAAGCCCAGTTACTATGTACTATCTTAATGTCACAACCCAGTCAATGTTTTGGGGATAATACATGGAATTTCTTGCAAATTCAGTAATCTTTTGACTAATGTGAAAATGAAAGTAATGGAAATATTGCTCTCAATAAACTTGATTACCACAAATATAGGGCTAAAAAAACACTGTAAGATGATTATCCAGGTGTGATGATGACTGCAACTGGTAAATATGTTGAGGTCACTGCTTATGCTGTTTCTTTTGTGTAATCAGCTTTAGTTTTGTATCTGAATTTATATTGGATTTTACAGAAGTTTAATATCCATTTAATATTAGAGTTGAACAAAAATATTCATTTTTCTAGCGAAAGATACATTGTATAAGTGGAGGGGTTAATTGTCATTTACTCTACAAGGTAATGAGTCATTTAACTGTATTTTAGTACAAAAATCAGCTAATTCCGGTTTTCATTTGATATTCTTCCATATTATTAGAATTGCCATGTAAAGAAGCAAGTACTGCATCTTCAAGCACACCATATAAAGTGTCTTGTTGAGACAGGTCTGCTCACTGAGGCTACCTGAAGAAAAAGAGATGCCATCAGAATCCAAGGCCACTTGAAAACTTTTGGTCAAGATTTCACAGATGCTGTTTTGTAATAGTACTTCCCTTTGTGTCAGCTTTATTCTGGTTTTGCCATTTCGTTGCATTCTAGAACTATGTTGATAAAGTAGTCTAATACACGGTGGCTACATGGCTACCATATTGGACAAGTAGACATAGGATGTTTCTATCATCACAGGAAGTTCTCTTGGACCATGCTGTTCTAGAGGAAGCCAGTTTGATTAGCTGTATTAATGAGTTTAACTAGGATTGTGCACAGCCCTTCCACTATACCAGTCCACCTCAGGCATCACAGGTCAATCTATAGGTGGGCCGCAGCTGGTTGGGGCCTCAATCAGTGGCTTTTCTTGGACAAACAAAAGCCGAGTCCTGAGATTGGGACTGTGTAAAAAACAGCTACCGATGTTCATTTTATTTTAGGGACTTGAACACCTGCAGATTTTGGTATACTCAGGGAACCTAGAACCAATTCCTCACAGATACCTGGGTACGACTGTGTAGTTGTTCTGTTAGTCGTTGGGTGAAAGAAGACAAATAAACATCAAAATGAAAATAAAAGAGTTTGTTTCAAAGTCAGAACTAGGTCCTCTTCAATGATGAAATGAATAATTCAATGAGAAAAATGAATCGTAAAGGGAAGTAAAGACCTAACTTATGATATGATGGTTCTTTTGTTTCCTAATAGATAATGAAGACTTTGATAGTTGCAGTGCTGCTGGCTGGAGTTGTCCCTCTTCTTCTGGGGCTCCTGTTTGAGCTGGTTATTGTTGCTCCCCTGAGGGTCCCCTTGGATCAGACTCCTCTTTTTTATCCATGGCAGGTAAATGAGTATCTTTTGCTCATTGTATTTCATTAAGGATTTGGGATTGAAAAGCAATCCTTAATTATTTTAAGTGATTTTAAGCAGTTGGTTTAGAAAAACTCCTTAATTTTTTTTTTTAATCTAGGAACCCTTATAAAATTGTTAAATAATGTCCTTTCATGTTTTGCTTTCAAGATATGCAGGTCATATAACTCCTTTAAAGAGGTTACTTTATAGATTGAAATGTCACTATTCATGTAGGCTTCTCTAATATTTATAGGTACAAACTAATATGTGTTGTTGATTTTTCCACCTTTGAGGAAGAATGAAACATCTTGCTCCTTTTGACTTTGAGGCTTTAATATTTTTGAATAATTACAGCATATTTTCGCACAAAGTCACAGGTTTATTAGAAAGAACATCATTCTGAAGGAACCCATGTAAGCCATAGTTCAGATCTTAAAGCTCATGGAAAGAGAAGTTTAACTTTTCTGTTGAGCCTGAGATTTTGAACATAGAATTAAGATCTCAAGTTCTTAGTAGATATTGGGAAAAAAGAATCAGACACTGACTTCAAGCATTCAGAGGCTTTTTAGCATTGTGCTTATCTTTTCTTAGTGTATTACAGTCTATTTTTTTGTAAAATGAAAGTATATTTGGGCTATATTTCCCTTCTTTCTAGATGGATAACCTCCACATACTTTATTACCAAAAAGTATTTATTGTAGTGCTTTAATGTGTGCCCAAACCCTCAACTGTATAGCCCATATGAAAATGAGGCCAGTGCAGGAATTTCCTAAGGTACTTATATTCTAGTGGGAAAGCTAGACAGGTACACAGGTGGTCTGTGGTGTGATTAGGGTAAGCACAAGGAGCCAGGACATCATGGAGGAGGGGTATTTAACCTAGCTTTGGGAGTTTCAAATGTGGTTTTCTGTAAGAGATAATATCTAAGCCAACCTAACTAGTAGAGTACAGAGGAGTAAGAAAGGAAGAGGTATATTCCAGGAAGGAGCCAGTGGGCACACTTAGAAGTGAGCCAGAGCATGCATGTCTAGGAACTGCCTCATATCTACTCTATCCATAAGCTAGAATCAGTGAGAGAGAGGGAAGTACACATCTGACTTAAAATGGTTTGATTTAGGTTTTCTATTTTAGGATGTGTGAAAGCAACTCATTCAGTAGAAACTATACTTTGAGTACCCATATGACCATTCTGTTTTTTACTTTCAGCACAGTATTCAATAAATTGTGTGAGATATTTAATACTTAATTATAAAATAAACTTTCTTAGGCTTCGGTTATACCACAAGGTGAATGAATAAATGGATGAATGAGTGACTTAAAAATAAAGGCTTTGTGTTAGATGATTCTGCCCAACTGTAGGCTGATGCAAGTGTTCTGAACTGTTTAAGGTAGCTAGACTGAGCTGTGATGTTCAGTAGTTTAGGTGTATTGAGTACATTTTTAACTTACAATATTTTCAACTTATGATGAGTTTATTGGGATGTAACCCCAGCGTAAGATGAGGAACATCTGTAATTAAGCATGTGTTACGCCTTTATGGAAGAGCTGTATTGCAAGGTAGTCAAATAGCATCAGTAATTGAAGGAAAATGATTTTTTTAAACAGAATAATGCCAGCTAATAAAGGTTAGAAGGACTAACACACATGGAAAAGTAGTATTTCTAGAAGATAAGGATTATCAGGAGTGGGAAATTGCTGAGGGGGAGGGTATGGGATTGGCAGTAGTGAGTTTCTGCTGGGGGGAGGGGCACACCTCATCAACAAGGGTACCTGCAAAATGAACGTTTGTATACTTAACTCTGAATTGTACATCACATCTTTTTTTTTTTTTGAGTTGGAGTCTCACTCTGTCACCCAGACTGGAGTGTAGTGGCCGCTCCCGGCCACCACAGCCTCGACCTGCTGGGCTCCGGCGATCCTTCCGCCTCAGCCTTCCAAGTAGCTGGAACTACAGGCGCGTGCAACCATGCCCGGCTAATTTTGATTTATTGTAGAGATGAGGTCTCACCAAGTTGCCCAGGCGGGTCTCGAACCTGCGGGTTCAGGCAATCCCCTCACCTCGGCATCCCAAAGCGCAGGATTACAGGCTGAGCCACCAAGCCCAGCTATATCACATCTTTAAAATTAAAAAATAAAAAAAAAAAGAAAATTAGTATTTTGTAGTACCTAACAAAATAATTGATTCCAGCAAGGTTTGTCAGTAGATGTTGAATCCATCAGGTGAAAGGTTTGATGTGTAACAAGTTACCTTACAGTTTAGTAGCTTACAATAGCCAATTTAATTTTGTCCACAGAGTCTGTGGGTTAGACATTAAGACAGGGCATATCGGTTTGTCTCTGCTGTATGACTATACATCTGGAACCTCAGCTGGGAATATTAAATGGTTGGAAATGATTTGGCAGCTATGACTGGAATCGTCTGGGGACATCATTGCTCAGGGTATGAGGGTTGATGCCGGTTGTTAGACTGGTGACTAGGGCTATTCGGTGTGCCTGGGCTTCTTCACAACTCGGTAGCCTCAAAGTAGCTGGGCCTTTTATATTGCAGTTCAGGGAAATGAGGGTCCTTACAAACAAGGTAGAAGCTACATTGTTTTTTATGCCTCGTGTCAAAAGTCCTGCAGTATTACTTTTCACTACATTTTACTGGGTATAAGCAAGTCACAAAGGTGGCCCAGATTTAATTGAAGGGGACATAGACCCCCAACACTTGATGGGGGAAACATTTGCATACCATCAAAATGAAACATTTTGATACTATCACTTTGCTTGTTGGCAATGTGTCACCTTATAGGTTGCTTGACAGTCTCAAAGGGAAACAAACAGACAACTTTACAGTGAAAGGGTCAGGCAGACAATACCTAACCCAGTCAGTGCAAGCACAGCCTTGGGGTAGATAAGACAGGTATTATGTGCCTCCTGACATTATACAGTACAGTCCTGCAAAGGAGCAGAGCAGCCCCAGGCGTTGAGGAGCTGTCCTGGCACTGCCAGCCTGGTCCCAGTGTTCTCCTTTTGGACATAAACAGTTTCACAGAAGATTGCCATTATACAAGGTCACTCTGTGACCATGATAAAGCAAGACAAAACAAATCCTCCCTCTAGAGTTGTGTATAGACATAGACAGGACATGACCATTATCCAAGCCACAATAATAACCAAATCAAACCTTCCCCTTTCCTGGCTAATATGACTGACTCTGCTTCATTACCATTACTTTTAGCCTTTGTTTGTCACTTTTTCTAGGTAAGATTTTTAAAGATAACCATTAATAGGTTACTCTGCTTTCTTGTTTTGTTTTGTTTTGAGTTGGAGTCTCACTCTGTCACCCAGACTGGAGTGCAGTGGCCGCTCCCGGCCACTGCAGCCTCGACCCACTGGGCACCGGTGATCCTTCCGCCTCAGCCTTCCGAGTAGCCGGAATTATAGGCATGCGTTACCACGCCCAGATGATTTTTTGATTTATTGTAGAGATGAGGTCTTGCCAAGTTGCCCAGGCGGGTCTCGAATCCGTGGGCACAGGCAATCCACTCACCTCAGCCTCCCAAAGTGGGATTACAGGCTGAGCCACCGAGCCCGGCTTTACTCTGCTTTCTAATAGCATTAGTTATATAGCAAAGCCATGCTTCCTTAAATCTTCTCCCAACTCCCTAACACAAACTCAAATCCTATAATAAAGCCTTTTCCCACTTCTGAGAGGCTTCCAGTTCCCCATGCTGTGTGTTCTCCTTTGCTGCAATGAGTAATAAATGCACCTTGTTCAGTTGCACTTGTTTCTTAGTGGTCTTGACAGTGGTGCCCACTATCACCTATGAAATCATCATCACCTTGGAGAATTGACACTGTCAAATTTTTTAAATGCTTGTGTATTATGACCCAACAGTTTGACTTTTCAGTATCATCTGCGTATGTGCAGGAGGCACGGGCAAGGTTGTTTCTGCTAATACATTATTTTTTATAATAGCAAAAAATGAGAAGTGACTCAGATGTCCATCAATAGAGAATGGCTAGATAAAATGTGGAATATCTGTGCTTTGGAGTTCAGTGTAGCAGTTGAAAAGAAACAGCCTAAGAATGATTTGAAGTAAAATCATGTCATTTATTTTATTTGCTTATTGAGTCACCATTAATGTCCACAATTTTCCTAATTCTCTTGGGAAAGTAATAAAGATTTCCAAAAGATACAGAAACAATCTTGATGGAAACACTGAACTTGAACTGTTGGTGGAAAAGAATTCCCTAGATTTTTCATTATGTGTTGGTCTTTTGCAAAATTGTCAATCCTGCAGAACTTCTATTTTAAAGTGAAATACTGCGATGTAAGAAAATGACATAGCCTCTCTGCTGGTTTTATTGTTTTAAAAAACAACAACAACAAAAGTGTGTTAAATGGTTTTTACTACCCTATAGGACTGGGCACTTGGAGTCCTGCATGCCAAAATCATTGCAGCTATAACGCTGATGGGCCCCCAGTGGTGGTTGAAAACTGTGATAGAACAGGTAAGCAAAATCAGTTTTCAGAGAAAGACATTCTGGAATTGTTTGTAATCGTGTGTGGTTGTTGGATTTATTTTTCATTTTTCTACATTTTCTTTAATGAACATTTATAAACTTTTTTTTTAAAGAGAAGATAGTTTTATTTTACCACTGTATGGGAGAAAAAGTAGTTTTTCCTTTAACCCTTATGGGACTTTTTTGGTTAAAATGGACCCCTGTAATAAAAGGCTAATGAGAAAAATAGAAGGTTATTAAATATTAAAGTGTATATATCATATATACATGGGAGATATCCAGGAAGTGAGTAATTTTCAGAGAGATGGCTTTGAATTCAAGTTAATTGTCAACAAGAATAGTAAATACTTAGAAAAAGTGACAGGACAAAGGAAAGGGAATTCGAGTCTCTCCTGTGGCAGAGGGAGGAGGCAAACACATGGCAGCTGAGGCTCCTTAGTACAGCTTATGAGAGTCCTCTGGTACCATCTCGAGGCCCAGAGGGTCTTTAACTGTCTCCAGTGGGTAACCTTTGTCCTCTCTGGGAGAGGCTGGAGTGGGCACCTTTTGTCTTTGTAGATTTATGTCCTGCTTGTAGGCAGTAGAGGTAGGACAGAGAGCTTTCCTGCATCTGCTGTTTCTCTGTTGCCTTCAGCTCAAAGCAGTACTTATGCCAAAGCAGCATGTGTGAGGGTGGTATATTCTGGTTTCCCATACTACCATGAGTCTTCAGCAACCACTTTAAGGTCTTCCCTTATGTGAAGGTTACCCAGTAGCTTAAAGTGTCTAGAGCCCTGTCCAAAGTAGAGGCAAAATGATCATACGTGCTTTTTTCAGGGCAGGAGTCCTGATGAGGAGTTCTTTAATACTTTAAAAATATTAAAGTTTCTAAGCCTATAGCAGGTTAGGGGAAGAAAGGTTATTGCTTGAGGTAATAAATAGAAGAAACAGGGGGAATAATAGTATGAAAGTGGAGCTGTTTAGGAATAATCTAGCTACATAGTACTTAACACTATTATTCTGGAACTATCAGATAATATGGTTGTTGTGATAATCTTGAAAAAGGCAGATTGTGCTCGAGTACTCTGATAATAAGACTAGGAAATGTGGTAATTCATTTTAGGAAAATTTCTATTCAAAATAGCCAACATAACAGATTTTGATACTTTCTTCTTTAAGCTTTAGTTATCCAGAAAATGTGTTTGTGGGCACCCCTTTTATCCCTAGACCAGTGCCAGATAAATAAACTATTTCAGTTCTGCAGCAGTAAAGGAGCGTCTCCTTTTGACGTATGAGAAGTATAGGCAGTAGTTCTCAGCACACTGTGCACAAGAAAATCAGTTTAAAAAATGCCACAACCTCAAGATTTTGATTCTTAGGAGCAGGGGTGAGGAAAGCCAGGAGACCGCTGTGTGTCTGTCTGTATCTCTAAGTACCAGCTAATTCTGAAGTGTGATGGATTGGGGGGTGGGGGGTGGGGTTCCTGGCTATATATCCCTTTAGGATCAGAGCGTGGTCCAGATCACTCTAGTCTCCAGGTGGCTCCAGCCCTTGCAAGGGAGTGTGAAGATTGGGGTTTATTCACAGCTGGGAGCTATGAAACATCATTGACCTTTTAAAATAGTTTGCTCTCTAATAGGATATTTTCTCATATGTGTGTGTGCGCGCATGTGTGTGTGTGTGCGCGCGCGCGCGTGTGTGTGTGTTTGTAAATTTAAGTAAAAGGTTGGGATTGGTTGAGAAACACTGGGATGCCTTGCTTCATTGAAATGCATTTGGGTTGACTGTGTTTTGGGGAATGGAAACATGCCTTTGGAGGGTTAAGCTGTTTACCATTCAGATGCCGAGTGATGGGACTGAGGCACACTACGTCAGTTGACTGGGCCAGGAGAGTCTTTAGTGCTGTGGTTGAGACAAGAGGGGAAGAGAACAGCGCTTCTGCCTTGACCCTCTTATACTCCATCCATATTTTTCATTCCCAAGGTTTTCCGCCCATTCTTTCCTCTGCAGTACTATGTAGAATTTTCTGGATAAGGTGATGGAAATGTTCCAGAAATATTTGGATTTTCTTTTTAATATGCACTAAGAATTATTTCATACTAAGTTTTTACATAAAATACCTTTGGATTTGCTAAAATTTGATTTATACAGGCTTTTCAGAAACATGTTTCCCATTTACAGCGTTTTCTTGTCATACTCAGATAAAATGAATGCAGTCTTAAGAAATAACACAGGTCACACTTATATAAGATGTGTGAAGTTCCTTTAAGTTATTTAGTCTTCAACTAATTACTGAATATTGTCTGGTATTGTGTGGTACAAAGATAGGATAAATTATTCTAGGTTAGTGTCTTATCTAACAACTTAGCAGAGCTAGCTGCAAAGTGTTAGTGGGTAAATGCATTTCTTTAGAAACTTGTGGGCACCATGTTTATGTTTGTGTTCCAGAATTTGCCTTGATTTTGGAAAAAATAACCAGTTTGAATTCTTTGGGGTTGGTGGATTCAGTTCATTGTAGCTTGGATTCAGTAGAGATTGCTCTATTAACCTGGAGGAATTTATTTTGTATCTTTGTTCTAAATTATTTGTTTGTTTGTTTTTTCAATGTTTCAGGTTTATGCAAATGGCATCCGGAACATTGACCTTCACTATATCATTCGTAAACTGGCAGCTCCAGTGATCTCTGTGCTTTTGCTTTCCCTGTGTGTACCTTATGTCATAGCTTCTGGTGTTGTTCCTTTGCTAGGTAAGTAATGCTGGTTTTAGAGTCTTGAAAGAGCATTTTTATGGACATTCTTATCACTTCCACTAGCAAGGACTGTCTGACTCTAGATGCTTTGTCAATGTAAATCCAGCTAAAACTGATTTCAAAGTATGACTTTTCTTAAATCTGACTACTCAGGATAAGATTAGAAGGATTGATTATAAATTTCTTTGATACAGCTTCTTTTTTCTAGGCAGGCAATAATGTATTGAAATGTATATGTCCTGCAAAATAGTATCAGATTTCCTTCAAACTGTCTTCTCCTAATAAGAAGTGCTGAGATTTGTACTTACAAAATTAGGTAAAAGTGTTGTTATAGTTAATTTAAAAAAATTATTTAGTGTAAAAGGAAAACCAAAGAGGAGATGCTAATGTGTGACACGTGAATAACTGGAAAGACGCTATCTTGTTGTGTACTGAAGAATCCTTTCAGGGCCTTTGCCTAGCGTATTTTCAAAATTATAAGTGCTAAGTTTTCCCTTAGTTTTCCCTTCCAAGTCCTTCTCAATCCCCTCTTAGTGAACAGTGTTACCATCCAACACACTGGAAGTTAGGAACCTTGAAGGTTATCCATGTCACTTTATGCTGTTTTCCATATCTGTTGTTTCCAAGTCCCACTGACTTGCCTTCGGAATCTGGTTTCTCTTCTCTGGTACCTTTGCTCCTGGCATTTGTTGAGGCAGTCCTCTCACATGTTAACTTCAGCAGCCTCCTATCTGGTTTCCCAGCTTTGAATCTACTACCACCACTAATTCATTCTCCACATTGGCCACAATGTCCTTTCAAAAGAGTGATTCTCATTGTACCTCTTTGGTGAACATTTTTCATTGGTGTCTCTGTGGCCTTTAATACAATCCAACTTCTTGGCATAGTTTACAAGGCTTCTTCTCTTGGTTTTATCCAGGCTTCAGTTTGACATCACTTCATGTTGTATTCTCAGAGTTTTGGTTAAACAACCACAGAATGGCCTCTTCTCAAACACATGCCATTTCCTCTTCTCCCCACATCTCTCTGCACCCTTTCATGTCTCTTACCTTTCTGTCAGAAATGTCCTTTCCTTTTTAACCACAAGAAAAGGGTTTAAAGAAGAAACACAACCAAACTTTGTATTGAAGTGAAACATGCAAACAAGTGTGCAATCTTACCATGTCTTACCAGCCTTTTAGAAGTCCCCTTTGTGTGTGCCCTTCTTTACTCTTCAAGGTAGCTACTGGCTTGATGTCTAAGAATCTGACTGCTTCTCAGTGAATAAAGATATTAGCCAGATAGCTGGGCACGTTGGCTCGAGCCTGAAATCTTAGCACGTTGGGAGGCCAAAGCAGGAGGATTGCTTGAGCCCAGGAGTTCAAGACCAGCCTGGGCAACATAGTGATACCCCATCTCTACAAAAAAGTAAAGACTACAGGCACACACCTGTAGTCCCAGCTACTTGGGAACCTGAGGGGGAAAGATTTCTTGAGTCTAGGAGTTCAAGGCTGAAGAGAACTATTATCATGCCACTGTATCATGCAGCCTAGGCAACAGAGTGAGGCTCTGCCTCTAAAAATAGAAAAAAACAGAGCAAGACTTCATCTCTAAAAAGATAGTCAGAAAGCAAGCTAAATACCGGTTTGTATAGAGGAAGAATAAGCAGAGTGTCCCATACTCTGCAGGATAGCATGGGAAACGGGAAACAGTTAAGTTGAGGGAACAGGAGGAATACATGGCACTGCTTTCTGGTTCCTTCTCTGTAGAAACTTCAAGGCTTTTATTTGGTTTGAATTGTGACTGTCAGGTATCAAACTTACTGCATTTAAGTTTACATACAAAAATATATTTCAAAGCCCATTACTAGTTGATAGAACACTTCATTAAAATGAATCATTTTAACTCTTGAGAATGACCTTTTTTTAAAAAAATGTACTGTTTTGGCTATAGTAGGAATGTCCTATTGTCTTTTTAAAATATTAATACACTACTTATTAACATCACATTCTGCTCATTAATTGTATATAGACTTGAGAATTACTGTTTGGATTTCCAAACCAAAACTTTTAAATATTTAAAAAAAAAATTTATTGTGAGCTTTGTTGGAAAGATGTTAGAAGGGAAGAAGGGTGATCAATGAAAAGTTTTAGCATATTTTTGCCTTATTTAGATGCTTCACATAATTCTGTTATGAAGAAACAGGTTCTTAGAGACAGAGACTTCTGCCCAGAGTCTAGCTGTTAAGGAGTAAGAGCAGGATTCAGACTCCAGCCTCAACCTCAGTGTGCATGTTCTTTCTGCCACAGCACACTGTTATGGTGTTTGGAGTCATTCGGTTTAGGCTTTTAACTTTTAATTTTTTGTAAATACTTCCTCTGATTTTAACCCTCCCCCACCCTTGCCTACCAAGGAAGAGTTAAAACTCAAGTTAAATATTAGAAAAACAAATGTTTGTGTGCTCTAAACCTTAGAGGATGTTTTTCATTATATAAGCAGTTTTATTTATTTTTCTCTTGAAACTGTCATGCAGTTGAAGTGTACAAATGACAACAGTCCTTGTGGAAATGAGAGTCCAGACTGTTAGAGCTGGAAGGGACCTTTGTAATCATCTATCGAATCTAGCTCCCCTGTTTTACAGAGGAGAAAAATGGGTGTCAGAAAGGGCTTGTGGCCCTCACAGATTGTAGAATGCTGGCAGACTTGGGACTTAGAAGACTCGTCTTGAAAGCCTGCACTACTGCACCCCAGTCCATTCTCCTCAGGGAAAGGCCATAATTCATGCCACTGTTATCTCACATACATGTAACCTTTTCCTTCTGTGGTTTACAGGTGTTACTGCAGAAATGCAAAACTTAGTCCATCGGCGGATTTATCCATTTTTACTGATGGTTGTGGTATTGATGGGGATCCTGTCCTTCCAGGTCCGCCAGTTTAAGCGCCTTTATGAACATATTAAAAATGACAAGTAAGTCTGGAGTTCCATTCATCTAGCTGCTCTTGTTAAGGTGTTTTCATTTCTTAATTTTTGTGTCTAATGTGTGCAGGAGGTGCTGGCAGAGTAGACGTGAGAGGTGCAGGAGAGCGGAACCAAGGATGTGACTGGCTGAGCATTAGGGAACACAGAGTTGTCATTTATGGAGCTGGGAAAGACTGGGAGAAGCTGGTTTGGGGAGGAAAACTTTTTAATGCCTGTTCTAAGTAAATTTTCAGTCTATTTTCACATGTTTTAGTTTGACAATATATGAAATAGTTTTAGGTAGAAATAAGAAGTCAACATTAGGAACGAGCAGCGCCTACACACACCCTACTTGCTCATGTGGGTTCATCTACATGCTCTGAGCATTGCACAGAGAGGCTCTGAGGTTACTGCACAGTGTTGTGGGGCTGTCTTGAAGAAATCGTTAAAAACTGCCACTTGATCTCAGCTTGAGGACAGCCAAGGAAAACACCTTCCTGGGATAACATTTAGCCTTCCGTGTCTTAACTGAAGGCTGAATCATCTGTCTAGCAAAGAAAGTAAGTTTACAATTATCCATCCCATGCCTGGGAGAACCTCATACAGCTGCTGCCTTTGTGTCATTATTAACAGTGTCCCCTTTTACTTGTGCATGTCCAAATTTCCCCAACAGATTACATGGCCACCTTATTTACTCTGAGGACCCTTAAGAGTAATATTTTTAAGAATAAAATTCAGACCAGCCATGGTGGCTCAAGCCTGTAATCCCAGCACTTTGGGAGGTCGAGGTGAGAGGATTGACTGAACTCAGGGTCTTAAGACCAACCTGGGCAACTTGGTGATACCTCGTCTCTACAATAAATAAAAAAAATAAGCCGGGCATGGTAGTACACACCTGTAGTTCAAGCTATTTGGAAGGCTGAGGCAGAAGGATCGCCTGAGTCCAGCAGGTTGAGGCTGCAATGGCCACGAGCATTCCACTGCACTCCAGCCTAGGCGACAGAGTGAGACTCCAACTCAAATAATATTAATAATAATAATAAAAAAATAAAATTGAAAGCATTCAGACTTCTTAAAGACTTACTGACGTTAAAAGATCCAAATACACTTAGGTAGTCAGAGTACAGAGGACTGTCAGCTGATGAGAGGAGAAGGGCACTCTCAGTGATGAGAGTCAGCTTTATCACTTGGCCTGCTTTGGCAGAGCAATAAGTATCACAGACAGAGTGATGGATAAGACAGGTCCTCAGGAGCTTTCTTCCTGCTCTCGGCACCTGCCTGTCTATACTCCTGCCCTTACCAGCTTTGCCTCTGCCTCTTAGCATTTCTCATTCTTTATTTTCTGTTTTCTCCTGTGGCCCAGTGTACTCTTCTCGTTTACCCATCTTTTTCTTCATGTGCATGTCTTGTCTGCCATTGAATATATACTTTAGCACAGCACTCGATTTGTAGGAGTTGCTGAGTGTGTGTGTTTGGGGTGGGGGTGGGCTTGGGGCATGAGAAAGGGTGGTGGCCTAAGAGAGTCAGGCTAGAGTCTCCTTTCCCTGCCACTGAGCTACTTTTTGTATTTGAGCAAGCTAATTAACATTGCTTTTGTCTAAATACTTTTTTTTCACTTGCTTTGTCATTGACACACGCTGACCAAATTCTTAGCGTATCTTGATGTGTTAGGCGATTATTGTGTGCCAGATAGTGCTGTACGTATTTTATTAGATATTGCTCAGTTATCACAGTTTAAAACATTTACAAAATCCTCACAGTTTAAAAAACAAAAAACAAAACACTGGTTGGGACACAGTGGAGATGGAATGATTGACTTCAGGAGAAGAACTGGTGGGACAGAAGAAAAGGGATAAAACAGGGAACCTGGATAAAGAGGCAGTGGGACCAGTGCACTTTTTAAAAAAGTGACATGTTGAATCACTAGACATAAACCGCCAGAATGTCTCCTGGGGCCTGTGTGCATGTACAGAACAGTGATGGCTGAGAGTCAGGTGGGGAAGGTAATGAGGAAAAAGAAGAGGCATCATGTTGAGCCCTACACGCATGCCAAGCCTTTGTCCCCAGGGCTTCACGTGCCTTCTCTGCCTTGCTGTAGTCACGTGGCATGGGCCTGTTGGTCTTGTGTCACTGTTCTGTGCAGGCTTCCTTCCCCTCAGTCTCCTCACTTCAGCTGCATAAGCTTTTCCTGACACACTCCTTGGTCTGCAGTGCCCCAAACAAGTGCCCATGCATACTTGTGCCCAGCCTCTATAGCTAGTGGCTATCCTGCTTTCGTTACTGCTGTCGCTGGGAGTCTGCCTCCAGCCATCTGCCTACAGATCTTCAATGAGCCTCCTTCTCCACAGCTCCTGCCCTTCCCTGTCACTGGAGATGTCCATCTCCCTGGAGAGGCTCTCTGGTCACTTCCCTGTCACTACAGCCTTTGCCATTGCCTCCTCCCTGTTATCACATATATGAGCAGCACATTTTGTTCTGTTCTCAGAGCATCACCTCCTAACTGCTGTTGTGTACACTCACTGCCGGCCATCTTCCTTTTGACCTCACTAAAATCTGTCCATTGATTTCTCCTTTTTTTTCTAGAACTACAGCTTTTCAATTCTTACTTTTGTTCCTTCCCAGCTTTCTGATGGTCATGTTTTGAGTCTGTCTCCTCAGATCTGTCCACTAAGCTGTTTTATAAAATCTGAACCTTAATAGATAAATCTCCCACCTAAATTTACTATGACCCCCCTGGCCCCCAAGTGCCTGAGTTTATGAGAACCCCTAACCCATTATCTGATGCACATCTCTGTTGCACAACCTCCTAGGTCTGCTGCCCTTTGCTGCTCCTGTGTCTTGCTGCAGATCCAGACCTACCGGGAAGGCACCTAACTGCCTTTGCAGGTGTTCCTTCTAGACTCCCCTTCCATCCACCTACCTAACCACTGACAGGTTTTGAGTAGGAGTAAGATCTGACTATTAAAAAATACATCACTGGCTATTCTTAGGAAACGTGTTTTACTCTGTAAGCTTGTACAAGAGAGTAACCACCCTGTTTTTACAACCTAGATACCTTGTGGGGCAGCGCCTCGTGAACTATGAACGGAAATCTGGCAAACAAGGCACATCTTCTCCGCCTCCACAGTCATCCCAAGAATAAAGTGGTTGTCTCAACTCCTTGACCTTCCCCTTGCCTTTACGTGTCCTTTTTTGTGGACTTCTCTCTTCAGAGACTTTCCCCAGTGATCTCTCAGCGCTGCTTTTAAGTTAAATGTCTTTGGTTTGTGTTCTCGGCATCCAGGGAGCAGCGGTGTAGGCTCTACTGCTTTCCCTGCGTCTTCTGACATCACTGCTGTCTGAGATCTGTATATGTGTAAATAGAAGTTCCTTGATACCCCAAAACCTTGGATTAAACAGAATGTGCATTGTACATCTTTAAACAAATGTATATTAATTTATTAAATCTAGTTGTCACTTTATTTTGAACCTGCTGTGATCTCGACAGGAAACGTGCCACAGAGCAGTAGTGCACAGGCAAGACTTTGCAGTGCCGTCTTGTGAGTGCAGTGCATGGCGTTCCTAGCAGCTCTCCCCAGGGAACTGTACATTCTGTCTCTTGGCTGGTCAGACCTTACTGAGAATGGAAAAGGAAGCAAGTAGAAATCAGCAGTGGAGTGTCTGTGGTAAGAAAACATGAACTGTGTGCTTCACTGTCAGTCCTTTGTGGAAGTTATTTTGTATAACACCAAAGCTGTTGTACATTTTCTACTGCCTGATTTTTTTCATGTGTCTGTGTTTGTAATATTGTATAGTATCTTGTGCTAGGTGAGGCAATTATTTTTAATTTTGATAATTTAATATTCCTAGTGATCAGCATTGGGAGTTGGGTTTCTGTGCTTGTTAGGGGCATGTCTTTACTTAGAAGTAAGGGAAAAGTCCAAATGAAGACTTTCGTTAGTTCCCCCCACTCCACCCTCCTTTTCCACACACAGCTATTTCTTTTTGGTAGCAGTGGCTAAAAGTCATGCAAGATAATAAATCTTTCAGAATAACATCACCAACCATACTGCATCTCACTGGATTTAGGACATTCTGAGATGCTTGTGAAGTGTGGATACGGGTGTGTCTTAGATTGACAGCCTGAGAGAAGCCTGGTTAGAATATCTAGTCTTGCTGGTTAGTACACCATTGAGTGAGGATTAGGGAGTACATATCTCCTGCTTTTTCATGAGTGAATCCCAAAGTTTCCAAAGCTTTTTTGTTTACAGAATAAAATAAAATCAACTCAATTTTATCTGTCCAGAAGGAAGCTGGCTGAGCTGGCCTTTTAACATAGGAATGTATTTCATTGGAAGTATTCTGTAAAATCTTAGAGAACTGAACCCATACACATTTGATTTGTCTTTGTAACCAAAGCTTCAAGTTAGAAGGTTAGAGAAATAGAATGGATTCGGTACTTGATCCAAGTATTTAATAGTAATGGTATATTGTAAGGGTAGTGCTTGATTTTTAAATGATAATTTAGAAGTTCTCATAGAAAGTGCACAGCATAAGTTTTCAGAAACTATACAATAATTTTCATATAGTATTAAAATCCATAGACTAAAACCTGAGGGTTTTTAAAATATGAAAGTCAGCCAAACATAAGCTATCAAACTCAAGAGCAACGTATTCTGGTTGTTTTATATTTTAACAATTTTTCCCTAAGTGGTAAGCAGATATTTTAAAATATATTTTTTAAAAAACATCAGTATCAAAAAAAAAAAAAGCTTGACATAGGATTCAGTGTTACACTCTTTGGCACTTTGGAGCAGTCCTTTCTCTTGTTTTGAACTAAGGGCTTTGCTAGGCCTACCTACTCAGAAGAACTCTAGTGTAACTATAAAAAATTAGCATTTTAAAACATAATGCCACCTGTCATGGTGTACATCTATATAGATTGTTCTCTTTGGGAGAAAAATACTATTGAATTGGTCATATACCTTGATTATATTAACTTAGGCTTCTTTTTTAATTTTTCAAAGAATTTGTAGATCTTGATATAAAGTCATTGGGATACATCTGTTTTAACAAAGAGATCTAGGCAGATACTACAAAAGGTTAAAAATTGTTAATCATACAGAATTTTAAATGAATCTTATCAAATGTTTTGTAAAAAACAATGTGAATGGCCAAAAAATTGCTCCCATTTCACTGGCAGATAACTTATATGGTCTTACTTAAGAATTCCTCCCTGGTTTTTCAGTTGTGCTTAGTCCTGTTGTTTTCAGTAAAATAAATACATTCATAAGGAAAGCATTTTCTGGTATCATATTTGCTTGGGTTGCATCCAGGTTTTATTATTAACCAATAGTCTTTTAAATATATTAAACCCATCATTCAGAAAGTGCTAGCTAGTGTTGCTACCCTTCTTCACTTAGAATTTTTTGTTTTTAATCATAGTGTAGTTTTGCTTCATTTTACATTGGGCTAAAATAGTCTTTCAAGAAAGTTTACTAGGAAAGAAGACCTTTTTGCTTTGTTTTTATTATTTATAAATTGAAGACAAATCAACATTTGGGGTTAGTTTTATATGACCAGTTATCAAATGGTCATAGTATGAAGTGCAGTTGTTCATTATTAGCAAATTATGTTTGAGTTTTAATTATTAAGTACTAATAGTTGAGTTGAAAACTGAAGAAAAATGCCAATGTGAAGTTTGTGTATAGCCTTAAAAAGCTCCTTGTATTTAGGTGATTTTTTCTCTTTCTGTTAGTTCACTGGAGAAACAATGGAGGTGGTACATCTCAATTCCAGATGTAAACAAAAAGAATTTTTATTTCAACATTTAATATAACTGTTATTACTGTGGATTCTTGTCTTGTGTTTTTTCTTTCCCTTATTCAAGTAATAGAACTTTCCTTCATGATTTGAACCTAGATATGTCATTTCTGTATTGGCAAAATGCTATTATTAAAGTGTAATTCTTGAATTTAGGTTGGATTGATGACTTTTTAAAACAGAACAAAAACACTGGACATTGCTTCATTATATTACGTTTGTACATGCACACACATACAGGAAATCGTAGTGCCATTATAAGAACACTGGCATTTTTTGCAACTCTGCAGGTTAGCTGCTTATATTCATTTTCAGGATTGAGTATTCTAAGCTCTACTTACTGTGAAAAGTTTTTTACGTTGTGAAATTAAAAGGCTATGTTTAAAATACACCTTCAGAATGTTAATTATTTAGCAGCCAAGATTGAACTAAAAGTCTTACAACTAAGTGTTATGAAAAGCCTCTTGTGATTTCTCATTTCCTTGATTAAGCTGTCTTGTTTTTACCTACTTAATTTGTCCCCTCAGTCAGATGTTTTTTCAGCCGATGACTGCCCTGTGTTATTTTTTTAAACAGCCATTATGAATAAGGGCTTCTTTCAAATAATCCTTGACAGTATCTGTGGCATTAATATAACATAAAGATAAGACAGTATGTGTATGTTTTCATTCCTGTCTATTTTGTATGAGTGCCTCATTTTGTAGTCATGAAAGTTACGCAGTACCTTAAAAGAAAATGTAATTTTAGAGGCCAGGAGTAACTGTTATAGAAGGTAAATAGTTTATAGAAGCTAACTTAGTTATTTGGGGTGTCAGTTTTCTAGGGGTGTCAGTTTTCTATTAAAGCAAATACCTTAGATACTCAGACCAATTATATGTGTATATATTCTAAAATGCTCTCTTTTTATGTGGTCATTTGTTGCCTTCTAAGTTGAGAGAACAAAATTGAATAAAGTAAATGTTAGTTGTAGCCTAGTTTTTTGGTTTGTTTTTGTCTTGTTACAAGACTGCTTTAAGATTACAGAAATGTGCATTATTAGTCAGCATAGGTAGATACTCCAGATATTTGTAACACAATGGGTAAGAAAGATAACTCAAAAGAAATGTGATTATGGCTCATTCCTTTTATTTGAAGTTAGAAAGTATACTTGCAGAAGACACATCACCTCCTTTCTGTCTCCCCAACTTTGACCATAGACTGACCTCCCTGGGAAGAGCCCCTCATCTTGTGCCTTAGTACATAGCAAGATACAACCCACTTCTGCTACAAGATCCGAAAGTCAGAGCTTCACCAGGGTTGTTTGTCTCTTCTAGTTGGATACCTTGATAGACTAAAACCAATCAGATCCATTTTACTGGTTAACCTTGTGAACCAGAGACAAAGGGAAGAATTACCAGTGATTTTTTTCCCCTTGTAAGTACCCTGAGTGACCAGATCCTTTTGCTTGAGAGACTGTTTCTAATTCTTTTGTTCCTAGGTTTGAATTTTTTGCCACAATTTTTTCCTCAATCAAGTGCATTTTTGTTTATTTTATTTTATTATTATTTTTTTTTTTGAGTTGGAGTCTCACTCTGTCACCCAGACTGGAGTGCAGTGGCCGCTCCCGGCCACCACAGCCTCGACCTGCTGGGCTCCGGCGATCCTTCCGCCTCAGCCTTCCAAGTAGCCAGAACTACAAGCATGCGCTATTTTGTTTATTTTAAAAGCAGGATTAGAGGAAATGCTGTTTGAGCTATAGACATCTCTGATGTGTGCAGTTGAAACTTTTTTAGCAAAGGAAATTACATGGGAAAGTTCAGAAACTGACCATTGATCTCCCTTCTTCTAGTCTGCAGTTTGCAGCTCTTCTTGTTGCAGAGAGTGATAAGGAGAACGATGTATCAAGGGGCTGAGGAGGTAACATTTCCCTCCTTCCCAGTTTTCATTTTGATGTCTGTTTTGTTACTGGCACTGTACTTAGTACTGCAGGTGAATGAGATGTGATATCTGCATCAGGGAACCCAGTGGAAAAGAACAGAAACACGGGCAAAAGAATCTATTATAGAGGTATGAATAAGATGCCATGGGGAACACAGAAAGGATTCACCTGGGAGAGTCATGACCCAGCTACTCTCTCGGTTACTGTTGCATCCATGGGCATATCCCCCCTCCCCCATTCCTCCTGAAGTCTAGTTCTGCTCAATCCCATATTTCTCTCACAAACTGTACATAAGTAAACCCTAGGTGGAGGGCCATTTTTGCACCATGTTACATTGCTTAATCATCATCTTTTTGATACTTTTTCCTTTTCATAGGTAACAGTGCCTGAGCTTTTTTGCTTCTCCATGCTTGTCCAGTAACTCTTCTTTAGGACATAACCAGTGAGGAGAAGTTTCAGACCCAGCAACTCCATCCATTCACTCATTTGTCCTTAGCCCATAGGTCAGTCCCTTCTGCTGGCTGTCCATTGGTCTGATGCAGCAGAGAGTCCAGAAATAGAACCATATGTATGTGGTTCAACAGTGGACAGCTGGCTTTTGACTGAGGTCCAAAAAAATGGAGCTAGGATAATTGGACATCAGATCAAAATTAAACTTAAAATGGATTACGCGGGAAGTCCCCAACATATGAACGTGTTCTGTTCCAAGAGTGCATTTATAAATCTAATTGTTTTTAAGTGCATCGAAGTTAGCCTAGGGTACCCAACGAACACAATTTATTCAGCAGGCTATACTGACACCTGTTGGAGAGAAATAACACATTAAAAAACAAATGTACATTAAAAGTTTGTAACTTGAAGGTTCATACGTGTAGGGCAGCAGTCCCCAACCTTTTTGGCATCAGGGACCAGCTTTATGGAAGACAATTTTTCCACAGACTGGCAAGGTTGGGGATTATCAGGCATTAGATTCTTATAAGGAGCATGTAACCTAGATCCCTTGCAAGTAGGGTTTGCACTCCTATGAGAATCTAACACCATTGCTGATGTGACAGAAGGCAGAGCTCTGCTCACCAGCCACTCACCTCCTGTGCAGCCCCATTCCTAATAGGCCACGGCCTGGTACTGGTCCGTGGCCTGGAGCTTGGGGACCTCTGATACAGGGAACTTACTGTAGTCCTAAATCTAAAACCCAAAACTGTATAATTTCTAGAAGAAAACAAAGGAGAACATATTGAGCCTTGGGTTTGGCAAAGATTTCTTGGATACAACCAAAAGCATAATCTGTGAAGAAAAATGCTACTAAACTTTATCAAAATTGAAAACTTCTCCTTGAAGGATACTATTAAAGAGAACAAAAATATGAGCCACAAATGGCAGAAAATATATGCAAAACATTTCTGACACAGAATATGTATCTAGAGTATGTAAAGAGGTCCCAAAACCAAATAATAGGTAAACCCACTTGGCCATTTTAAAAATTGGCAAGTTTTGTCGGGCTCGGTGGCTCAGCCTGTAATCCCACACCTTTGGGAGGCTGAGGTGAGTGGATTGCCTGAGCCCGCGGGTTCGAGACCCACCTGGGCAGCGAGACCTCATCTCTACAATAAATCAAAAAATCAGCCGGGTGTGGTAGCGCATGCCTGTAATTCCGGCTACTTGGAAGGCTGAGGTGGAAGGATCGCCGGAGCCCAGCAGGTCGAGGCTGGGCGACAGAGTGAGACTCCAACTCAAAAAAAAAAAAAAAAATTGGCAACATATTTAAAACAGACACCTCACTAAGGAGGATATATAGACAAGTACATGAGATGGCCAGCACACTTTATCACTAGAAAATGCAAAATAAAGCCACAGTGAGATACCACCATATTTTACTGTTAGAATAGCTACGATTAAACATGCCATCCCATGTGAGGGTGTGGAGGAACTGTAACTCTTAGATTCTGCTGGAGGGAAGGTAAAGTGGCACAGCTACCTTGGAAAATAGTTTGGTAATTTCATACGTCTTTAACATTCCTAGCTGCCAAGAGGAAAGAAAGCTTATGTCACTCAGAAGACCTGTCCCTGAGAGTTCTTGGCAGCTTTGTTTTGTAGTAGCCCAAAGCTGAAGCAGTCCACATGCCCCTCAAGAGGCGAAGGGAAGAATGCATCGTGGTGATCCATGCGGAAGGGTAGGGCGTGACAATAGAATGGAATTCTGTATTGATGCACAGCATGAGCACTTCTCAAAAGAATCATGCTGTGTGAAGTAGACCACAAAAGCACTGTATGATTTCACCTCTCGATAATGTGAGGTAATCTACAGAAATCTATAGAAAGGTCAGTGGGCACTAGAGGGGAGGGACTCGAGGGATTTCAAGGGGGCGTCAATGTGGTTCTGGCTTGGCATGCATTTGTATTCAAATTATATGCTTTCAATTTGTGCAGTGTATGTCAATTACGTCTCAACTTTAAAACAGCCTTTGTTCATACAGGCTCTCTTAAGGGACTCTGTCATACTTTCTCTTTCCTTAAAGTGCCACTACCTCTTCTTCACTTGCTTCTGACTGATGACTTGAACTTATTCTTCTTTCACTAAGATGACAGCAGCAGTCAGAAGAGAACTTACAGGAGTTCACGCCATCACACTCACCCTCTGACCTGCCCCTGTGCCCACGGGCTTGCTAGTTAATCCAGCCTCCCTCTAGAGCCATGTTTGCAGTGCCATGCCATAGCTATGCAGGCTACCCTTGACACAGACTGCGGGATGAGGTACCTGAACCCTGGTGTGACTCGAGGGCCGGCCCACCGCTTAGTAGACAGCATGTGCTCTGCCCAGCGTACTTCTCTGCAGTCCCAGCCTTCTCTCCCCAACCCCCACCCTCCCATCTCCTTCAACTGCCAGTGTTTCTTCTCCCATTCTCTTCTGTTGTGTTCCAGCTGGGTCCTTACTCTCCATTACAAGTTGAGTGTCCCTTATCTGAAATGCTTGGAACCAGAAGTGTTTCAGATTTTTGGAATATTCGCATTACACTTTCTGGTTGAGCATCCCAAATCTGAAATGTTCTAGTGAGCATTTCATTTGAGCATGATGTGCTCAAAAAGTTTCAGGTTTGGGGGGTATTTTGGGCTTTGGATTTGGGATGCTGTATTTTGCTGGTATTGCTCTTGGTAAGTTCACCAATGACCACCGCTAAAAGTTGTGGTTAACTCTCAGGTCTCAACTTTCATGTCTCATCTGACAAGGCTGATTGCTCTCTTCAGTGAAACCGTTTTCCTTGGCTGCACAAACACTGCATTCTCCTTCCCACCAGCCTGGACTCTGCTTTCTAACTTCTTTTGCTGGTTTTGTCTTTCTCCCAACTGTTACAATGCCGAGGGCTCAGTCTGTTCTACCTACACCTGCTGACTTGGATCTCACTCAGTCCCATGGCTTAAAGATATCCATGTGCCTGACACTCCCAGATATACACACACATGTGTGCATGTGCTTGTTCTTTCTTCCCTACACCCCAGACACATAAGTGCAACTGCCTATGAGGACATCTTACAGCCATCCCAAACTTAGGTCCAAAACAAAACTTGTGATGCCTTACCCCAAACAAACCCTTCTCTCAAGCTTTCCCATCTCCAGTGGTGAGCAGTTGGATGGATTAAAGTTGCTGATTCCAAAGTGTTGAGAATGCCACTGACACTTGTCTCTCACACACACCCTCCGAATCCAGACTGCAAACCTCTTCTCTTCAAATGGAATCCGGAACCCGGCTGCTAGGCCTCACCTGTACTGCCCCTACCCTGGCCTGTAGTACTGCTGTGTCTCCTGAGCTTGGCCCCTCCGTTCCTGTGCGCTCTTCTTTTTCCATGCACTTTCAACACTGAATCGAGCTCTTGTTGACGCTAAGTCAGATCACATCAGTCCTCAGAAGTCTCCAATGGATTACCACCACACTCATGTGAAAGTTCATGATAATCTTGACACCAGGCAGGCGTATGGTGAGCTTTTCTTCCCTTCTCTGACCCCATCACCCATGTGTTTGCCCTGCTTCAGGCATCCTTCCTGCTTCTGAAACAGGTCAGGCCTCGGGACCTTTGCACCTACTGTTTGCCATGCCCAGATGTTCTTCATTCAGGCTCCTTCCAAACTCCTCATTCTCCTTTCTTCTCACCAGCCTGAACTCTGCTTTCTAGTTTCTTTTGCTGGTTTGGTCTTGTCCCCCAACTGTTACAACGCCCAGGCCTCAGTCTGGGACCTTTGTTCTACCTACACCTGCTGACTTGGGTCTCACTCAGTCCCATGGCTTAAAGATAACCGTGTGCCCAACACTCCCAGATACACACATATGGTTGCGTGTGCTTGTTCTTTCTACCCCCAGACACGTGCAACTGCCTATGAGGACATCCCAAACTTAGGTCCAAAACAAAACTTCTGATTCTTTACCCCAATAAGCTCTTCTCTCAAGCTTTCCCATCTCCACCGGTGAGCAGTTGGATGGATTAAAGTTGCTGATTCCAAAGTGTCTTTACTGAAGTGTCATTCTCAGGGAGGTTTCCTACAAAGACTGGAACATCCTGTCTTGTCTTCCTGCTGTAGTTTTTGCTTTTGTACTTTTTTTTCTTTTTTTGAATTGGAGTCTCATTCTGTCACCCAGGCTGGAGTGCAGTGGCACACTCATGGCCACCCCAGTGTAGGCCACCCCAGCGTTGACTTGCTGGGCTCTGGTGATTCGTCCACCTCAGCCTCCCAAGTAGCCAGAACTACAGGCATGCACTACCACACCCGGCTACTTTCTTATTTATTGTAGAGACGAGGTCTTGCTAAGTTGTCCAGGTTGATCTCGAACCCGACGGCTCAGGCAATCCACTCACCTCGGCCTTCCAAAGTGCTGGGATTACAAGCTGAGTGCTTTTGTACTTTTTAATATATCATTTTTCTTGTTTATATTTGCATATTTTTCACACTTGAATGTAAACTTTGGAGATTTTTTAAAGCTGAATCATTACTGTATTCCCAGAAGAATTCCCTGCCAAATATTTAGAGTTCTCAACAAGCATTGCTGAGTAGATAAAAAAAAGATGAATTCAGAATCAAAATTATGCATACATGGCTCAAATAAAACCCAAAAGCCCTGTTACATTCTCCAGAGGTAACTGCTATTAATGGTGTATGCTTCCAGATAGTGCTATGGGTAAACAGAACTACTCATCCTGTTAAAAGATGTCACACTTCACAGATTGTTCCACAGGGTACTTACTCTCTATTTCTCTATTTCTTTTCATATCAGTACATAAAGAGCTGCCTAACTTTTTTATTCTGGCTGTATTGTGTTCCATTTTGTATAGACCATGATTTAAGTTTTCCAAAAGACAATTAAGCCGGGCTCCGAGGCTCAGCCTGTAATCCCGCGCCTTTGGGAGGCTGAGGTGAGTGGATTGCCTGAGGCCGTGGGTTCAAGACCTGCCTGGGCAGCGAGACCTCATCTCTACAATAAATCAAAAATTCAGCTGGGTGTGGTAGCACATGCCTGTAATTCTGGCTATTTGGAAGGCTGAGGCAGAAGGATCGCAGAAGCCCAACAGGTTGAGGCTGCGGTGGCCAGGAGCGGCCACTGCACTCCAGTCTGGGCGACAGAGTGAGACTACAATTCACACACACACACAAAAAAAGACAATTAACTCATTTAAGTATATGCTATAATAAACATTTTCTGTTTATATTAAGTTTTATAGTATTTCTATAGGATAAATTTCTAGAAGTAATATTGCTAAGTCATCAGTAATTTTTAGAATGCCAAATTACCTTCAAGAGGTACAAATTAACACTCCTATCAACACTCTTATCAACAGTATGACACTCCTTGTTTCCATTTCATCATCAACTTTAAATAAAAGTGACTGTTTTCAGTTTTTGCCAGTGCTGTTGATTTGGAAATGTGTGTATGTGTCCATCTGGTGGGTGTGAGGACCCAGGGAGAAGATAAGAATCGGCCACTTCCCGAGTTCCCCTGAGGGAGGAGTGCTTGCCATTGACCCTTCCTGGAAAGAGCTCACTGTCCGGAGGTGAGCAAGAGGAGGTGGGTCAGGGTCTCAACCATGTAGTGTGGGTGCCGTGGGCAGCTGCAGCAGCCAGCCGGGACACCCCCAACCGAGATTACACCTCGTCCCAGCCAGGAAACCTCTAACCAAGGTTCACACCTCATACCAGTCAGGATGCCCCTTATCAAGGTTCGCACCTCATACCAGCCAGGATACCCTCTCACCAAGGATCATATCTTGCACCAGTCAGGATACCTCTCACCAAGGTTCACACCTTGCCCCAGCCAGGATGTCCCTAACCAAGGTTCACATCTCACACCAGCCAGTCTACCCCCTAACCAAGGTTCACATCTTGCATGCTACCCTGGTCAGCATCCGCCAGAATCGAAGTTTCTTCTACCCTTCAACTCAAGCTATGTTATCGGAAGTCGTGATTTGTTTCCACCTAGAGCTAGTCAGATTGGCTCAAGCACCCTATCTTAGGAAAACAAGTTGGGTAGAATCTTGTTTTAGCTGGAAACTGCTCCACTGTGCAAGCGGCTTCTAAAGGCATGTCTGAAGAAGTGAGGTCCACTAAGGTACGGCGTGGGCAAGGAAACATTCACGAGCAGAGGCATGATGCCCGAGCCCTCTGGGAAGGCTGCGAGGTCCGTGCAGGAAGAACCAGGCAGAAAGGAGCAGGCGACTCCTTCCGCGGGCTCGTGCTGCCTCCGCCCATCGGCCCCATCATTTCCAAGGCTGCCTTCCTAGAGGACCCGAGGCACATCGTTTCTCAGCCTCCCGTAGCCAGAGCAAGCAGACGAGGACATCTTTTTGTGAATCTGCCGCTCCCCTTCGGCTGCGGAGAGTCGATCCGAAGGCCCATTTCTAAGTGAAACATTCAGCTCGCGCCACTCGACAACCAGAGAGCGGCGCGAGCTTTTTCGGAGCCAGACTGCGCACGCGCAGCACCGCCCGGACACGCCCGGCGACCGCCCCGCCCCCCGCAGCCCCAGCCCGAGCGCGAGCGCGAGAGCGGCGGAAAGGGGCGGGGCCCGCGCGCGTCCCGGTTGCCTGGATACCGCGGAGTAAACCTTCGCGGCGGGCGGCGGGCGCTCGCGAGCTAGCCTGCCTGGGGCGTCCCTAGAGGGCGGTTGGACCCCCATTTCCCTAGGAGCCCGAATCGGAGCCGGTAAGAGACCCCGCGAAGCCAGCCCCAGCCCCGGGGGAGGGCGGGCGGTCGTGGCCTCGAGCTCCGCCGCGGTGGGGCTCCGCCGCGGTGGGGCTCCCCCGAGCCGCGAGCCGACGGGCCACCTTCTTCGCCGCAGCCCCCTTCCCCGGGTCCCGTCGGCCAGAGCGATGCCGCTTCCCGACGCCATGTTCTGCGCGCAGCAGATCCCCATCCCCCCGGAGCTGCCGGACATCCTGAAGCAGTTCACCAAGGCTGCCATCCGCACTCAGCCCACCGACGTGCTGCGGTGGTCCGCGGGGTAAGCGCCCCGGGGAGCGGCCGGCCCAGCGAGTCCTCCTTCCGGACCGGGGCCCCACGCGACGCTTAGCATCCTTAGAGAGGCAAGAGTTTCCCCCTTCGCATTGGTGACATCTGTACCTCAGTGTCGATCTAGGACCCATTTCAGTGTATTGACCAGAAATGGTTGCAAAATGCTTATTATAGAGAAACGTGTAAGAGTGATGTGAAGACGGACTAAAACTTACAAAGCAGGTGCATTGGACAAGTTTCCGCGTTGCGTTTTTTAAAAATCGCATTATTACCATCACTTTATTTGTGAAATTATTTTTGCAAAGAGGAATCTCGTAGCTACGTTCCTCGTTCTCAGATCATCTTCCCAGAATCATGTATTTACTGGTTAAGTTTATTAGAACCTGAATGCCTGAGATCATACTGAAGTCACCTTCCCAAAACTGCCAACGTTAAGTTAAACCTACAGCAAATGCACCTTCTCAGTTTCTTGCCACAAGCATTCTAACCCTTTCCAAGAACAGATATTCATAATCTTAAAGTTACAAGTCAACATATGTCAGAAGGGTTAAAATCACTTTGATTTTATAGGAGAGTTCTTTGCACCTTTTCAGTAAACAGACAAAGGGTAAACGCTTACTTTGAGGATGATAAGAGTCAGTATAGGTGTGTGAATTTAAAATAAATATTTTAGTCACCAACATGTCAGATTTTGCTGACTGTCTCTAAACTATATAACCAAGGTAAATTAGTTTCCTTTGGCTGCTTTCACAAATTACCACAAACGTTGATGGTTTAAAGCAACAGACATATAGTCTTATAGTTCTGGAAGCCAAAAATCCAAAATCAGTTTCACTAGGGCTAAAGTCAAGATGTTGCCTGGGCTTTGCACCTTACAGTGGCTCTCAGGAGAATCCAGTTCACTTCTCTGCCTTTTCCTTGTGCTCCTTGGCTCCTGGCCCTTTTCTCCATCTTCAGAGCCAGGATTTTCAGACAGGGATATATATATCCGTCCTCTGGTGTTAAGCATGATTCACGCCTAAATAAAAAATAGTCAGGATTTGCACGAGTTTATTTGTACTCTATAGACAAGTGCTTTACTTTTTAAGACAAGTTACCTTAGAGACAAGGATTTCAAGCTTTCCTCTTAAAGCCTTCTCAAGAACGTTCTGAATGCTCCATGCTACTAATTTCTTTCAAGAACAATGTTTGAGTTTCAGAGAGAACCCTGGTCTTAATCATGAGGCAGTGTGTATGTAATAGGCTCAAACCCATCCTCACTCTCACGGGACAGAGTCTGTTAGGGAGAGATATTCTTAAGTAGCTCGAGCTAGGGGAACTTGGTAAGGGCAGAAACGAAGGGTCAGGAAAGTTGCACAGAGGATGACAGTCTGTGAAAGATCTCATAGGTGGAGACGGGGGCCAGGGAAAGGGGGAGGGTATTCCAAGAAGAGGAGGTGGCCTAGGAGGAAAGGGGACAGAAAACCCGGATGCACATGAAAGTAACCTGCTAGAGAACCAGCAGGAAGGCCTTCCTGCTCCTTCTTGACTTACTGCCCCGACTGGTTTTGTGTCTCCTCTTGCCCCTGACATAAGTAGCCATATCAATGTCCCAGAAAGGAGCGGTAAGAGGCAAAATACTAGGCAGGAAAAGTGGAAGGGGTGGGGAGAGGGCAGTACCTGCCATTCCCAACATAGAAATCTGTGGCCTGCGTGTTCCTGGGCAGCCTTGGAGTTGAACATGCAGAGAGGCTTGAAGGCAAGCACCTTAAAAGGCAGTGAGACCACAGAGCCATAAGACAGGGACTCACATTGTCCCCCCTTTTCAGACAGATAACTGATGACAGAGAACTGAGCAGAGGGAGCCCGGGTCAATGGACTTGAGGGATCTCCCTCTGAACCACCGTTGCTTCCTAGGGTCATTTAAGAAACTGCGTGCATAAGGTGCTTCTTGTGTGTTGATGTGTCTTCAGGATGTCTGCTGTGATTAGATATTTTTCAGCTTTGTCCAGAGGAGAGCCACTTCCTATAAAGGACAGACTCGAATTGCCCGTGGCCACCCAGAAGACAGACACAGGCCTGACTCAAGGGCTCCTTAAAGTTTTGCACAAGCAGGTATAGAGGGTCAATGCCACCAGCCAGCTGGCCGGGGTCTCCTTCACCTCCCATTCACTGTACCTCCCATAATGCAATGACAAAGCAGGGCTGCCCTGTGTGCCCGCCCCTCCCTGGGGTTGATGCCACTCACTGTCCTGAACACGAAAGCTCACCTTTCCCCCATGGGGCGGGTTACTTGGGGTATGTCTAAGTATTCTCAAGCCATTGTATTGTCTCATGGGCTTTAACAACTTACATAAATTGTGTCATACTCTGTTTTCTAAACAGTGCAACCACATGCAATACGTGGAATTAGCGGATCTTAAGCACAAGTGGAAAAATCTATGCCTGCCAGTAGAAAAATTCAAAGCTCTCTTAGAATTGGATCCTCATGAAAACATAATTGAGTGGATAAAATTTTTAGCGCTTGGCTGCAGCATGCTCGGTGGGGTACGTACCTATAAATGGCAGCTTAGTAATTCTGTGTAGCCATGGGCCTAGTGTAAAAGTAATTGTGGTTTCAATAACTGAAGAAAACACTTTACTTTTGTCTTAGAAATACATTTTTTCCCCATAAAGGCCTGTTATGTTTTCAGGCTTAGTTATTTTGATTTACAGAAATTAAATACTTATGAATACCTCAATTTAAAAGACATTAACAATTGATGAAAGATACACATACCCTTTATTTTTGGAGTCAGGGTCTCACTGTTGCCCAGGCTGGAGTACAGTGGCATGCTCACGGACACCCGAAGTCTCCACCAGCTGGGCTCAGGCAATCCCTACCCTGTAGCTGGGACTACAGGTGCATGCCATCATGCCCAGCTAATTTTTTGATTTTTATTGTAGAGATGAGATTTCGTCAGGTTGCCCCCAGACTGGTCTTAAACCCCTGGGCTCAGGCAATCCTCTCACCTCCCCCTCCCAAAGTACTGGAATTACAGGTGTGAGCCACTGAGTTTGACTTTTTCAAATTATACATCAGTTTGTAAACTGATAATATCTGTTTTGCTCATCTGTGAAAAGAGACATAAAATGATTTTGTACTTTAGTTAAAATTTATTGTTAATAACTAACAGATGCAGGGCAGCTTTGCTGATGTTAATGTATAATCCAAATGCCTTAGGGATACGACATGATGGTCCTCCAATTTACACGGGGAGCCTGGGAGGTGAGGGGGGCAAGGGAGGGAGGGATTGGAGCTGGGACGATGTGGCCAGAACTTCCTTGCAAATCTCATCTCTCTTCTCACCTGTGTTAAGCTTATGAAGACAGAGGATGGAGAAAAGAGGCCTAGCTCCCTCTCCTACATAGATGAACACGTTCATTCCACATCCTCCCTTCTGTCTGTGGCCCCGGAATACACAACGAACCTTTCTGATAATCATGGCATGCACTTATCTTTGGCCCATGCATAAGCCTCTTTCATTCCATTTTAATTTTTTTTTAAATTACTTGATATAGTAGACACCCATGAGCCTACCCAGCATGGTCACTGACACACTGACAGTGACTTCCAGTTACCTGTGTCCTCCTCCGGTCCTGCCCCCCTGCCTATCAGCCTGACATGAGGACCAGCCTGAATCCCATGCCTCCTCCCATCCCCTTGCCCTTGAAAAGATGCTTTTGGCCAGGGGTCCTCAAACGTTTAAAACAGGGGGCCAGTTCACTCTCCCTCAGACCGTTGGAGGGGCGGACTATAGTTTAAAAAAAAAACTATGAACAAACTCCTATGCACACTGCACATATCTTATTTTGAAGTGAAAAAACAAAACGGGAACAAATACAATATTTAAAATGAAGAACAAGTAGAGTTAAATCAACAAACTTACCCCTGCCCGAGACTGAGAGGAGGAGTCGAGAGACAGAGAGAAAGAGGGGAGTCGGAGAGTGGGACGCACATTCCACACATGCGCACTGCAGGCCGGACAAGTCAAGTCGGCTGCTAGGCAGGACAGGCAGCGGCAAAAACACCCGTGGGCCGGATAAATGTCCGCGGCGGGCCGCATGTGGCCCGCGGGCCCGTAGTTTGAGGACCCCTGCTTTTGGCTATTCCCCGAGACACGCATTATGGAGTTTTAGTGGGGTCTGATTTGATGGAGGATAACGATGTTGTTAGTAATCTTCTGTATCTTTGTCCTTCCAAATTATATTGCTGTGTTTACAAATCCATGTTGTCGCGGGTTGTGTGGTTCACTCACTGCCTCTGCTGTGTCCTGTCTGCCGTGTGAATACAGCGCCATTTCCTGATTTCCCGGTTCTGTTGATGGCCCCACTGAGAGGCTGTAACCTCAGGGAAGTCGGGTGTCAGGCTGGCGGCTGCGGCGGCAGTTTTGTTGTGTCACGGCCCAAAGGCAACGCAAGTGTTTCCCGCCAACCCTCGGCACATTGTGCCAAGGCCTGGACCCTGGCAGACCAAGCACCCTCCAGTGGCAAAGTCAGGTACAGATGGCATTGCGGTGCGGCATCTTGAGGTGTTGTTGGGAAGGAGAAAGTCAAAAATACATTTAATTTCTGGAGGCATTTTTTTTCTTTTTTGAGTTGGAGTCTCACTCTGTCACCCAGACTGGAGTGCAGTGGCCTCTTCCGGCCACTGCAGCCTCGACCTGCTGGGCTCCAGTGATCCTTCCGCCTCAGCCTTCCAAGTAGCTGGAACTACAGGCGTGTGCTACCACGCCCGGCTAATTTTTGATTTATTGTAGAGATGAGGGCTTGCCAAGTTGCCCAGGCGGGTCTCGAACCCGCGGGTCTGGAGGCATTTTTATGTCACTTTGTTCATCTGGAATTCAGTGAAATCAAGGGGTTTTTGTTGTTGTTGTTTGCTTGTTTTGAGTGGAAGTCTCAATCTGTCTCCCAGGCTGGCGTACAGTGACACAATCACGGCTCACCGCAACCTTGACTTCCTGGGCTCACCGCAACCTTGACTTCCACCTCAGCCTCCCAAGTATCTGGGACTACAGGTGTGCACCGCCATGCCTGGCCAATTTTTTATGTTTTTTGTAGAGATGAGGTCTCACTATGTTATAGGCTGGTCTCAAACTTCTGGCCTCAAGCAATCCTCCTGCCTCAGCCTCCCAAAGTGCTGGGATTACAGTTGTGAGCCACCTTGCTTAGCTGAAATAAACATTTTAATAATGTAAAGTTAATATCTAATATTTGAATTAATGTTTATAGTTTCTGCCTCTCAATTGTCAAATTTATATTTAAACAATAATGAAGAAGAATAGGATAATTCGTGTTTCAGGGCCTAGCTCTGTAATTTCCACCTTCCTAATCTTGAAAACTAAGCACTAGATTTATAATAAAACTGAATCTCTTTTTGGAGAATGAGGACTCGTGTCCATGTACAATGTGTGACGCTAGATGGAGACATTTTCTCAAGGATAGAGCTTCATCTCTAAACTGAACCCTGGGGAAGAGACCTCTCAAACAACACGCCGCCTTTTGTTTTCTTCCTATGATTCCTATGACACGTTACTTTCTCCATAGAGAATACATTTAACCAGGAAGCCTACTGCAGGCCGCCGTGGGCTCCTGCCAGTCCCCTAACTTGAGTCAGCTCTGGCAATAGGGTGCCATGTTGGCTTGTGACTCCTCCCTGGTGGTAGGAAGTCAACGACCATCCTCTGCCTTGGTCCAGCAGCTCTAGACTCAGGGGTCAGGTTTAAGTGTGAAAGCTGATCCTCTCCTCTGCAGGAGGAACATGAACTCGCCTGGGGTCTGTGTTGCTGCTGGCGGTGCCTGCTCTGCTTGGGGCCTTCCGCAGCCCAGCAACATGCTGAGCATGGGTTCAAATACCCATCTTGGGTATTGGGCAGACAGGGAGGCACCTAGGCCAACTGGGCCTTGGTGTGGACATGCATGTGGCCGATGCCATCTGGGTCGTGGGCAGCTTGGTGGAGTAAGCACATGAAGCTGCGAACTCAAGGGGTGCGTCTTCATGTAGTTTGGCATCATGGCATTCGTTTATTTTTATGTCTTTAAAAAAACACCTTCCAAAAGGAGGAATGAAGACATGAAATGAGAGGAGAAGAAATTTGTGATGGATTACTGCCTGCTTGGGTTTTTTTTTTTTCCCTCATAGAGAACCATAAAACTGGGATCTAATTACTGTCGGCTTGAACATAATAGATCTCATTCCTGCCACCTACGTCCCTGGCATCCGTGTGGCCTGTGGCAGGTGTATACCCCATGCTCCTTAACTTCTCTTAGAAATCATCTAGTAAGATTAATTGAGTATGAAGTCTCTTAAAAGACTGGGAACTTATGCTTGTATTTCCACATATCACTCATTCGTTTCTTCATTTCACAGTTGTTTACTGAGCACTGCTTTGTGCCAGTCTCTGTTCTAAGTGCTGACGGTTGCGGAGTGATAATAGGCAGACCTCCCTTGACTCTTGGAGCTGACGCTCTGTTACATCCTTGAAGCCCAGACCGCTGCTCTAGTGAACACAGCTGTGGGCTGCAGGCCGGTGAAGGTGGATACTGAGTGCCATCTGGGTGTCCCTCAGTCTTTCTTTCTGGCTGTCTCTCGGTCTTGGCAGGCTTGCCCGGTGAAATGACCACATTTATACATTGTGACTCATATCCTTACGTTTGTGCAACAGCGTTAACGAGTCTAAGCATTAATGCCCTGGATCAAAATTTTTTTAAGCACCCCCATATACACACTGATAGAGGCAGTCCATAATGATAAAAAACAAACAGCAAAACGATGGCTTTAATTAGGCTTTCAAATGCATTTTAACTTTATTAGTCGTGGGAGCATCTCTCTCCATTTATAGTCACAATATATGCGTGTCGGATACCATTTTCCATCTGAACACAGCGCTTACCGTGGGCGTCAGTTCCAGGTTCCTACAGTGTGCGGGATGTTCAGGACCCCTGTGTGTTCTCTTTGATCCTCCTCACAGCCCTCTGGGGAAGATACTGCTTGCCGGATTGTAGGCTGGTGTGCTAAAACGGGGACAGGCTGAGTCGGTCACAGCAAGTAGCTTGGTTGGCAGTGGGACCGGAAAGGACCCCTCCATGTGGCTGCACTGGAGGACCACCTTGGAGTTCATGCCTGTACTGTCCTGTCTGAGAATAACGGCCCCCACAGAGTAGTGTGAATATCATTTTGTGCCCTAACGTGACCCATCCCCTAATAATCATTCCATGTCAGCCTCCCAACCACACATCCTTTGGAGTTCTTAAGACGTCGCCTGTCCAGCTGTGCCGCAGCAGGTTGGTTGGGTGTCTTTGACCCATTGCAGTGTCCCTTTGGCTCAATGGGGCAGCCGCCTGTCCCGATGACAGAGACTATGTCCTAGCTTGCTTCCCCCTACCAAAATCCTTTCAGGTATTCCCTGCAGCCTGTGAAAGATACAGGACAGGTGCAGTGGCTCATCCCTGTAATCCCAGCACTTTGGGAGACCGAGGCGGGAGGATTCCTTGAGCCCAGGAAGTCGAGACCAGCCTGGGAAACGCAGCGAGTTCTGGTCTCTACAAAAGTTAGAAAATTAGCTGAGTGGTGATACAAGCCTGTAGTCCCGGCTACTCAGGAGGCTGAGGCAGGAGGATCACCTGAACCTGGGAGGTCGAGGCTGCAGTGAGCCATGATCGTGCCACTGCACTCCAACCCGGGTGACAAGAGTGAGACTTTCACTCAAAAAAAAAAAAAGAAAAAGAAAAGAAAAAAGGAAAATAAAAGAACTGCCCAGCATGAATGTGAGCCTCAGGCCCCAGGAGTGTCTACTAAATGGTCCCTGAAGAGGCGGGAGCTGCTGGCACCTGAGCTCCCGTGGCCCACTGCCAGTCCCCTGGCGCGCGTGTGTCTCCCTCTGTGGCAAAGAGGAGAGGTGGGCTCTACTCAGCTGATCAACCTTGGCCGGCCCACTAGAAAGTCTCACAAGTGGGATGAAGCTGGCCCTGTGGCCCCTCCACCCATGTCCTGGACAGTGCCATTGGTGGCATCTAGTCTGTAGTGTGGCTTCCCTCAAGGACCGGATCCCAACCTCCTCATCAGACTCTTTCTAATTCAGGGCCTCCTGCCCTGACTGCCCGCCGACTGCAAATCCCAGAAATGTGTTTCCAAGTAGAAAGCCGAGGAGGCCGGTGGGATAAGCTGACAAGGCTCCCAGGTCCTCATGGGTGCAGCGCTGGGTCCTCAGCCCTGCTCCACCAAGTCCAGTCTACTGAGCACAGGCTAGCCACGCCCAGCAAGCGGGACCTGCTTCGTTGTGATTCGTGTTTCCATGTCCACACCAGTGGAGAGGGGTCCTCGGGGAGGTGGGAGGCAACTCTGCCCTCCGGGGCCGTGTGTGTCCTCACAAGGGCAGCTACGATTCTGAACCTGTGAAAAATCCCACAGCATCGGCCCACTCAGAACGCTCAGAAAATGGTTAAGTGCCCGCAGGTCTTTGTTTTCACACGCTTCCGCCTTAATTTCAGACTAGGGACCAGGTGTGCATACTTGTTAAAGACAGTGCAGCTTTCATCACCCCCATCGGCGCACATTACACATGTGAGAATAAACCGGCAACGGCAGAGGTCAGCACAGGCGCATGTGCCGAGGGGGGGGAACAGTGGCAAGTGTGCAAGCAGTGGTCACTCCCAGCCCTTTGGAACTGAGGGGTTTGTTTAAAAGAAACGTAGTTCTCAGCACGAGATCAAGCAGGTTGCCTCGTGAATCCTTCTGTATACAAAACCTGCTGCAGACCTCACTGTCGGGAGCTGAGATTGGCGGTGTCATCACGCCTTGCAGTGATGCTGGGATGTTTTGATAAGTCTTCTCCCTAAATGCCTCTTCCTCTGAAGCCTGGAACGGCCATTGTGCAGATCACATCTGCCTGCTCATCTGCCGATGCCTGGCTTCCCTGATGCATCCTTCCTGAGGCCCTGCGTGGTGCTCACTAACTGCCATTTGCATTGGGTTTAAAAGTAAATTCCAACACAACATGTCTTTGAAAGTCCCAAGCAGGGAACGTGGCTTATGAAGTGCACACCTTGACTCTGGGCAAGTCCTCTCTCAGAGCAGTGACATCAGTGTTTCCAGTCAGAGTGTCACATCAGCCCTTGGAGCTGCCTGTGCATCCACCCTCCACAGCATTGCAGCTGGCCACTAACACCGGCGACTCCGGGCAGTGGACTTCCAAAGGGAAAATGGAAGGAACTGCCCACAGGCCTGCTTCATGCACATACAAGCACGTCCCAATGGGTAAGGATGGGGGGTGAGTTCAGGGTAGACCTTCATGTCCTCCAGTGGAGTGTCCAAATCCTGGAATAGGATGGCAGCCCCACCTTGGACTCCTTTGGGGCTTCCAGCGGTGGTGGTTGTGGCCTGGATGAGGTCAGAGGCCCACCTGCTGTGCTCCAGTCTGGGCCGACCACCTTGGGCAGTTGCTGAGCCTCACGGGGCCCTGCCGTCCTCAGCTGTGAGCTGAGGGTGGGGGCAGTCCTCACCCTGTGTGGGTACCGTGAGGAACAGAGGAGACACCTGGCCAGACTCGCAGTCGGTGACTGGCACCCAGCAGGTCTCTGTCCACTCTGGCTGTTAGCCGTGTTTGCACACACGTGGCTCCGTGTGAGCTGCTCATTTCAGGTTGCACCCTGGGGCCAGCCCAAGCCTTTGCATGCTGGGGACGTGGGATCTATGTCCCAGCACAGTTCTGTCCACTCAGCCAGGCCTGGGCATGACTTCCCCAGCAGCTCCCTGTGGGCACCGTGCTCTGTGCATGTCCCACCATTGGCTTTTTCCTGCTGTTCCCTCCTCCAAAGCTTAGCCCCAGCTGCCCGGAGAATCCTGCTCATACCGCGAGGCTACTGCATGTGGCAACTTGCTGTACCCTTACAGCCCCCAGCCGGCAAATATGCAGTGCCTGCTCCCTGGGGGAGGATTCTCTGTGATGCTTGCCATTTAATATGGTGTAAATACTCCCACTATGGCTGCCTGCAGGCTGCCAGCTGAGGTTCTCTGGCTTGCAGTGTTCCCGGAAACCCAACAGCTGGTCCCAGCACAACACTGTCACATGCCCTGGGCTTGGCCGAAAGTCTAGCAAGTTGTTCTTGGCCTTCCCTGTGTGGCCTGGCACGCGGATGGCTCTCTCCCCCTGGGGATGCTTTCCTTCACTCACATCAATGCCCTCCCCTCCCTGGCCTCCCTGTTGTCCTCTCCCTCCTGACTCATCTCTGTAGCTCTCAGAGCCTATACTCTGAGCTCCTTCCTGGTGACCCCACCAGGCGCTGGTCTGTAAATCCCCCCAGACTGTGGGCAACACCCCCGAGCGCAGAGTCCCCAGCCCAAGCCCCTTGCTTGAACTCCAGGCCTGAGCGTCCACCTTAGTCGACGTTTCCAGTGCTGCCAGACCGACATGGCACCTGCAGCCACTCAAAACTGAGCCCTTCGTCTTCTCTCTGGAACTTGCTGCCCTGAGCCCCCCATCTCGGTTGGTAGCAAGTCCACTCTTCCAGCTGCTCCTGCCCTGAGGATGGGCACTGAGAGCCAAAGTGGAGGGTGGGGCTGCTGTCCAGGATGGACCAGGCATCGGGAAAGACCATGATGGGGGTGCCCTGTCCACCGGGGAGAAGGGCCTGGTGCTTTCCAGGAACTGAGGCAAGGCCAGAGCCTTCTGGGTGAGCAAGGATGGGGGCAGGACGGAGCCCCCGGTATCTGGGTAGACAGGAGCGTTGGCAACACACAGGGTCTCCCTGCCCTCCACGGGTGCAGGTTAACAGAGTTCACTCCGTTTCTGGGCACGTCCGGCCCTGGGTATGTCTCTGGGCCAGGTGGGGCTGCACAGTTCTTCATTGGCTTAGGAAGTCCTTCTTTAAAGACATTGATACGGCTAGGCATGCTGTGCTGGTGCCTGCCTGTCATCTCAGCACTTTGGAAGGCCAAGACAGGAGGATGGCTTGAGGCCAGGAGTTCAAGACCAACCTGGACAACGTAGTGAGACCTCATCTCTGCAAAATATGTATATATATAGCTGGGCGAAGTGGCACGAGACTGTAGTTCCAGCTACTTGGGAGGCTGAGGTGGGAGGATCGCTTGAGCCCAGGAGTTTGTGTCTGCTGTGAGCTATGATCATGCTATTGCACTCCAACCTGGGCGACAGAGCAAGACCTCATCTCTAAATAAATAAATAACAAGATATGTGGTCTTCAAAAAAAGGTAAAAATAAAGACACGAATGCTTTCTCTGGTTTGTAACAGTCATTCCCATCTTAATAGAAAAAAAAAATCTGCGAACTAAAATTTTTTTCTGGCCAATCGCATCCTGTTCAAACCTTTTTATTTTTCACAGTGGCAATTTGTAGGTTCATCTTAGATGGAGGACATGCTTTCTGGAGAATTTCCAAAAATATGCTCATGGGTCTATTTTGCTTACAGTGCATCTGCTTTAAATTGTCCAACCTCCGAGAGTAACTGTTCCCCCCCACTCCATCTCTAGTCTCTAAACACCGCCATGAAGCACCTGTGTGAGATCCTCACTGCGGACCCCGAGGGCGGGCCCGCCCGCATTCCGTTTGAGACGTTCTCCTATGTCTACCAGTACTTGTCCAGCTTGGACCCGGACCTCCCTGACTCAGAGACAGAGTCCTACCTCGCCATGCTGAAGGAGAACATGTAAGTGTGGGTGGATTGAGCTGTGCCATCTGGGGAGGCGTTCCCTTCTCTCGCCTCTCCCCTTGGGAGAAACTCAGTTTTTCCTCTGCTCTCACCCCACAATGACAGTCAACACAGAAGACTTCTGTGACCAGATGTTGAGGGGGGGTTCCCTACCAAAAAGCAAGCCATCAATTCTGCAGCGGGCCCCCGCTGGGTGTCCTCGCATTCAATTCCAACACCATCTACCTGGAGATAATATCAGATCCCGTAGGTTGAGGGCTCAGTCCCCAACACTGTCCCCTCTCACTTCTGACACCAGCCATAGGCCCCCGGTGGTGTTTTGTCTTTGTTTCTAAACAACCGTCTGTGAGTCAGGGTTCCCACGATCCCCTCCTTAGGATTGACAGGTTTGCTAGAGCAGCTTATAGAGCTCAAGGGAACACTAACTTACATTTGCTGGTTAATTACAAGGGATATTTTAAAAGATGCAAATAAACAGAGATACACAGGGTGAGGCCTGGAAGGTGAGGCTTCTGCCTCTGGAGTTGGGGCACATGGGTGAGTACCTGCTCTTGTTCCCACACACTCCACGTGCTCAGAGGTCTCTATGCCCTGTTCTTGGGCCGTTTATGGAGACTTCACTGGAAAAGCATGATGGATTAAATCACTGGCCATGAGTGGCCTTCGCCCCTCTCCGCTCCCCCAAGGCTAGGGCTGAGCAGAAAGTCCCACCCGTCTGTTCCTGCTGTGGTCTTTCTGGTGACCAGCCCCATCCTGGAGGCACCAAGGGGCGGCGGCCACCGGTCAGTCTTCAGCATAGGAAGACCCTCACTCTGGAGATTCCAAGGTCTTAGGGGTTGCATGCCAGGAAACAGGGCAGATACCAAACACAGATTTCACTACACCATGTTGCTCTTAACTTTCTTCCAACTCGTCTTGCCTTTGGTAGAAGGTAAAGACACAAGTGTTATGTTTGAGAGGTAAGTGGAGTTGCTATCCAAAAGCAACAATGAAAGCAAGCAGCACCTCAGGAGGCAGCCTTTCCTTCTCGGGTTGCTACCAGCGGTTTTAAATTGTCGTGTGTTAGGCCGGGCATGGTGGCTCACACCTGTAATCCCAGCACTTTGATAGGCCTAGGTGGGAGGATTGCTTGAGTCTAGGAGTTTGAGACCAGCCTGGGCAATATAGTGAGACCCTGTGTCTACAAAAAATAAAAAAAATTATTGGCGTGCACCTGTAGTTCCTGCTACTTGGAAGACTGAGGCAGGAAGATCACCTTTGCCCAGGAAGTTGAGGCTTCAGTGAGCCATGATCATGCCACCACACTCCAACCTGGGTGACAGAGTAAGACTCCGACTTAAAAAAAAAAAAAAAAAGAAATAGAATTTATTTCTCTACAATGAAACATAGAAATTCAGTGGCCATCAGAGGACAGCCTGACTGCAGTGCCACGGACGCAGTGTCACCTGCAGAAGGCTGAAGATGTCATCAGCATCACTCACACAGTTCTTAATGTGATAAACTTGCTGCATGGCATGGGATACGTTGTATGTGTATGCTGTGTCTGCACTAGACTACGCGATTTAAGGCTGGCGCTGCCTTGAAGAGTGACTTGGTACTAACATTTGAACACATTGCCCTGGGTTTTTGTTGTTGTTGTTTTTTGAGTTGGAGTTTCACTCCATCGCCCATGCTCATGGTCACTCCAGCATAGACCTGCTGGGCTCCGGCAATCTTCCCACCTCAGCCTTCCAAGTAACCGGAAATGGGCGTGTGCTGCCATGCTCAGCTGATTTTTGATTTATTGTAGAGATGAGGTCTCACCAAGTTGTCCGGGCTGATCTTGAACCCACGGGCTCAGGCAATCCACTCGCCTCAGCCTCCTAAAGTGCTGGGATTATAGCCTGAGCCACCGAGCCCAACCCACACATAACGTTTTTTTTTTAAAGATTGAGGAATCCTCCCTTTAAAGACTAGCCTCAGTGTAGAAAGGAGCACACCTCTTCCATCCTGCCCAAGTGTTTTATTTGCTCATCCTGAAACAGTTATCGGTCACCAAACATGTGCTCTGTACCACCTGTGGGGACACAGGAAAAGTGGCCAGGGGGACAGCAGTAGCAAGCTGAGGTGATACCCTCCGAGGGAAGGTCCCTGGGCTGTGACAATGCAGGAGAGGCAGCTGGGGAGAAGGAGGGAAGGGCGTTCATGGTGTAGGGGCAGGAGAGAGCCAGGCTCCCCCAGACCACAGTCCAGGAGAGACGAGACTGCCCAGGTCTTCCCAGCAAGCACCTCCCCCAGGCCACCGCCCCCAGGTGCACGTGACCACCTGTCCCTGCCTGCCCCCACGTGGAGCTGTTTGCCCTTAGTACGGTTTGTTGAGCACCTGCTCTGTGCCAAACTCTGGTACAGTGTGGCGTTGCGGTCACAGAGAAGGTCATGCCCTGACCTGCAGAGTTCCACCCTGTGGCAGACACCAGACATGCAGATTCTGAGACAGCAGACCACAGAGCCAGGAATGGGGCCAGACAGTGGTGGGGCTGGTCCCTGGGGCAGGACATACACACTGCCTCGGTGCCCTAGAGGCCCGAGCCCACCAGGCCTGTCATCACCACCCAGACTCTCGACCCTCCTCCTGTCCTTTCTAACACCTGTGGTGCCATCTGGGATGCAGAAAGCAGTGCCCGGAGCCCACACCACCGCCGGCCTCGCTTCCTGCCACAGGGCGGGCTCCTCACAGGTCTCGGCCCTCCTGTCCCCTTGTCCCTTCCAAGCCATCTGCTCTCCTCTGTCTTCATACTCACATCCCCTCTAAGTCACCTGCCCTGGGCTACACCGCCGGGCTCTGTCATCCTGTTTTTCCTTCCTCGCTGTCGCCCCTAGATGCTCCAACCCTCCCCTCCCTGTGGAAAGTGGCAGCTCCCAAGCCCCGTGCCTTGAGCATCTGCAGTCACACAGGGGATCTGGGACTTTGTCCTCAGCTCTCCCCCTGCCCCCCCCACCCCATTTCCACCCATCTGCTTGTCCCTCTGCTGCCTGGCCCTGCCAGGGAGCAGCCCCCTCACCAACCCTGTTACTCCACCTGATCCAGCCGCCCTGGGACACGGTGAGCCCTCCTCATCCAGATGCACGTGTCCAGCCGTCCGTGAACTTGAACCCTGCTCAGCAGCCTGCACTTCCACCCCTTTCCCGAGACCGCAAATCGTCACAAAGGAAAAAAGCTATGAATATAGTACTGGCCTTTCCTCCTAGAAACACACGTACATTTTTGATCATTTGGTACAAGAAAATAGAATGCTTTGTTTTTGAAGGTCAGAATTACCAGTGAGAGACCATAAAAAATCAGTTTTTTAAGGGAGACCTTTTAAGTTATATTGCATTTTATAAAAGTGTTCCTAAGTGTGGCAATGAGAAATTAGTAATAAGTGTCTTTCTCTGTTTCCAATTTAGAAAGAATGGCTTGATAGGACTGTCAGATTTCTTCTTTCCAAGGAGACATATTTAGAAAAACCCTCAACAACTCTGAAGACATAGGCCATTAATACAGAGAAGAACATGTTTTAATGTCAAAATGGAGTTTTTGAAAGCCTTGGCACCAAATACAGCTTGTCATTAACCACACTCATCCGTGGTGTGGGTTTTCTTGTCACGGAAGTTTAGTATGACAGATGCTTCGTGGGGCTGACTTCACTACTGCTCCTCACTGTGTCTTGAAAGGACTTTCAGTGTAAGAAATCCATGGCAGTAAAATAACCTCTGTTAGTAGAATAATCTGCTTGGAGACTGTCAAGCAAGGGGATGGGGGAGACGGGTAGCTTGAAAAGTGGCTTTTCTTTTTCTTAATTCAAAACTGGTGACTACGGCCAGGCATGGTGGCCCACATCTTTAGTCTCAGCATTTTGGAAAACTGAGGCAAGAGGATTATTTGAGGCCAGGAGTCCAAGACCAGCCTGGATAACATAGTGAGACCTAGTCTTCATAAAAAATTCAAAAAAATTAGTCAAACATGGTGTCGCATGCCTGTGGTCCCAGCTTCTCAGGAAGCTGAGGTGGGTAGGCTACTTGAGCCCAGGAGTTTGAGCCTACAGTGAGCTATGATCATGGCACTGCACTCTAGCCTGGGCAATAGAGTGAGACCCTGCTTCTAAAAAACAAAACAAAACTGGTGACCAGCAGTAATGCAAGTGGACTTGCTCTGTGCTCTCTGCTAACCAACCAGACTCCCTGAAGAGCCTTGTGAGCTGGGGTTTGATCACCTCTCTGAAAGGTGGGTCCCAGGGACACAGTGCCCATGGCTGGCATACTGGACAGCAATGTAGACCAGCACTTGGTCCACCTGAACAGAAATAAGCACCCAAGTGCCTTTATTTGCTTTCTCCTCATAAAGTCTTTAAAATGCCAGTGCATACATTTCAGATTAGCCAGAGGGCTAAGGCTCGGGCCACGAGACTGCAGTGTCTGCCTGGGAAACAACTCCTCACACAAGACACCTAGCCAGGGGTCCAAGGACTGAGAGTGTCCCCTGCAGAGTGTAGAGGAACAGCTTGCGTGATGCCTGGGGTGCACCTGCTGAGTGTCTTTCCATTTGGCAGGATTTGGGTGAGTCTTACTTTCTTTTCTTTTTTTTTAAATTTATTTTTTTTTTTTTAATTTTTATTTTTTGAGTTGGAGTCTCACTCTGTCGCCCAGACTGGAGTGCAGTGGCCGCTTCCGGCCACCGCAGCCTCGACCTGCTGGGCTCCGGCGATCCTTCCGCCTCAGCCTTCCGAGTAGCCGGAATTACAGGCATGCGCTACCATGCCCAGCTGATTTTTTTGATTTATTGTAGAGATGAGGTCTCGAACCCGCGGGCTCAGGCAATCCACTCACCTCAGCCTCCCAAAGGCACGGGATTACAGGCTGAGCCACCGAGCCCAGCTGAGTCTTGCTTTCATAGTAACTGCCTTTTCAGGAGGTCATGGGAGGGGACATGAAGCCCCTGTCACCTCAGATCACTGAAGGCTACTCACATGCACCACAGAACTACATCAAACTGCTGCCCAGCCTGACTGGCTCAGCGCAGCTGGCAGCAAAGCATCACCTGGCCCGGGAGATGCATGTGGATGGAAGTTCTGTAAGACCTAGCATGGACGATTGTGATTGCAAGCAAACGCTGACATGAACGTCTGAGTTCATAAAATATAATTCAGGGGGCATTTGTTTACCCTCCCAAAAAGGCATGTGGTGTTTCATTAACAAAAAGAATGAAGTGTGATACACGCTACAGCATGGGTATGTTAAACAAACCCCTGCAGGTGGACAGGCCCTGGCATTCGTCCCTTGAAAAGGCTTTTGTAGGGACGGGCACGGTGGCTCAAGCCTGTAATCCCAGCACTTTGGGAGGCCAAGACAAGAGGATTGCCTGAGCTCAGGGATTTAAGACCAGGCCAGGCAACTTGGGTGAGACCTCATTTCTACAATAAATAAAAAAAATTAGCCGGGCATGGGAGTGCGCACCTTTAGCTCCAGCTACTTGGAAGGCTGAGGCAGAAGGATCATGTGAGCCCAGCAGGCCGAGGCTGCAGTGGCCATGAGCATGCCACTGCATTCCAGCCTGGGTGACAGAGCAAGCCTCCAACTCAAAAAAAAAAAAAAAAAAAGAAAGAAAAGAAAAAGGCTTTTGTCTCAAGAAATAGGTCTTAGGGATGACTTTGTTAAGAACTGGAAATCGCATTCTGTAGGAGTCTGCCAGGGCTGCCCCAACAACAAAACATCTATCTTCTCATTGCTCTGGAGGCAGCAAGATCAAGGTGTCAGCAGGGCCGGTTTCTCCCGAGGCCTTGCTCCTTGGCTTCTAGACAGCTGTCTTCTCCTTGCATCTTCAGTGGTCTTCCCTCTGAGCTACTCTGTGTCCTAATTTCTTCTTCATAGGACACTAGTCGTATTGTTTTAGGGTTCACCCCGATGACCTCAGTTTAACTACCTTTTAAATAAAAGATCCTATCTCTAGGTGGCTCACACCTGTAACCCCAGCACTGGGAGGCCAAGGCAAGAGGATTGCCTGAGCCCAGGAGTTTGAGGCTAGTCTGGACAACATGGTGAGACCTCATCTCTACAATAAATAAATAAATAACCAGATGTGGTGGCACAAACCTGTAGTCCCAGCTACTTGGAAGGGGAAGAAGGAAGGATTGCCTGAGCCCAGCAGGTCGAGCCTGTGGTAGCTGTGATTGTGCCACTGCACTTCAGCCTGGGCAACACAGTGAGACTCTGACGAAAAAAATAAAATAAAAATAAATAAATAAAGATCCTATCTCCAATTAAAACCACCCTGAGTTACTGGGGGTTGAGACTTTAACATCTAGATTTTGGGGTCGGGGTACACCGTTTGGCCCACACCACATTTTTTTCCAGCCCCCAAAATTGTTTTGGCCTGACTTAGCAATTGAGGTCCCTGAAGTTCAAACAAAAAGATCTTGACAAAGAAACACGACTGACCTTTGTCTAGTTGACACTATCTGGACCCCTGAGTCATCTCAGAGTGGTGCTCAAAACGCAAATCCTATTTCTGAGTGTAAACACTCATCTGAACAGCCAGACCCAGGGTTTCCAGAAGCTCTTTAGAGTGGATTCTGGATCTGTTGCAGAGCTGGGAGTGGAGGTTCACTCCAGTCCTGTCCCCTTAACGCTGGCCCACTGTAGTCCCAGCAAGGGACACGGAAGCACACCCCTTAGATCTGCTCATGCATCAACTCTCCTGCTTGGCACTCTATCCCCCCATTCCCCCAACACGATTTAGGGCCTTCCTCTGGCTCCTGGTCATGCTCAGCTCAGCTTCACCCCAGGGCCTGTCCCCACCAGGTTGACTCCACGTACCTAGAAGCTGGGCTCCGTCAAGGGTGGAAGATAAGTTAATTTTGTAATTATTAAAGCATAAAGGGAGGCCCTCCTCGGTCCCATTTAGTCTTGTTCCAGCACTTGAGAAGGGACCATGCCTCTGTGAGCCCAAACCCGCTGGTTTACTCTTCATTGTCCAGATACTTAATCCCAGCATGCTCCATGCAAACAGAGGGTTTGTCTCCTTCGGGAGAACACTTTCTCTATCCTCAGCCGACTTTGACTCTTCCTGCTACAAGATTGGGTCATCTATATTCTCCTTCATACCCAGCAGGTATTTCCTGTTGAAATAGCCATAGGATGTTGAGCTTTCCATTGGATCATCATCTTTAGGGGGTGACTCAGATGGTTTAGTAGCTACGAGCTTTGTTGCAAATATCATGAGCTGACCAAGGTATTGGATAAAATAAATTGTTCAGGTGACTGTCCCCCTAGGTTGATTGTCTCACCCTGGGGACCTATTTTTGAACAAAATAGCATTGAAAGAGTCCAGAAGAAACGGTGGGGAGGGGGACCATGAGGACCTTAATGGCGTCTGGAGAGGCTCTGGTATGAGAAGCCAGGATTTGCTACCACGCAGAAAGGGGGACCCATCTGGGTTGCAAAGACAATTTTTATAATTAAAGTGACCTTAAAAATAGACTCTATGGCTGGGCACGGTGGCTGAACCTGAATTCCCAGCATTTTGGGAGGCAGAGACAAAAGGATTGCCTGCGCCCAGGAGCTCAAGACCAGCCTGGGCAACGTAGTAAGATCTCCTCTCTACAATTAAAAAAAAAATTGCCTGCTACTTGGAAGGCTAAGGTGGGAGGATCACCTGAGTCCAGCAGGTCGTGGCTGCAGTAGCTGTGAGTGTGGCACTGCATGCCAGCCTAGACAACAGAGTGAGACTCCAACTCAAAAAATAAATGAGTAAATAAAATAAAAAAAAATAGACTTGGACAATGATGGAGACTGCACATTTTAAAAAAATCTCTGGCATTTGTAGGGTGTAAGCTTGCAAAATATCTACTTTTCCTTAGTTGCAGGGAAGCATTGTGCCAGAGGAGTGGGGCAGGGGTGAGGGTGGTGGGTGGAGAGGAAGCCGGATTGGAAGAGCCACAAGATAAACATCAGCCCTTGGTGACTTTGGTCTTGGCACTTCAGGAATGGATTGTCCCATGGAAATACATGTCTGAAGTTCTTGTTCACGCAGTAGCAACCAGTGACTTACCTGGTTTCAACGTAACTGTGTCGGCTTCCGTATTTTTCATCTCTATATTTTTTTCCTTCTGTTGGTGTTTATGTTGTGTAAGAAAGAGAAAAGTTGGAAGCAGGGGGGACTCTGAAAATGAGTGGTCACCTGGCGCGACGGAGATCTGGGGCGGTGGGGCTGGGCAATAATTTTACTCTTGAAATGACTTAGCCACAAGTCTCCCGTTTAACTTATGATTCGCTGTTATGTCTTGGCAAATCACCAGCATACTTGTGAATTCTGGCAACGTGAGAGACTCTAACGTACAAACGGTTTTCAGATATAGTGAGACTTTTGTTTACAGTCAATTTAACAATTAATGAAGAATGAACATATAAATTAATCATGTACTGAGGCTGAATTCATTATTGCCATAATTTGCAGCCAATGATTTTTTTTCTCGAGTCT